GAAAAAAAAGAAAAAAGGAAAGAAAAAAAAAGCGCTAGGGCTGCGCTTCCGGCCCGGCTCTTGCCCCCCGGCCCCGCGCCCGCAGGCAGGGCCCCAAGCAGCCAGGGCGTTGGGCGCCCACACGGGAACACGCTGATACACGGGAACGGGGAATGGAGGGAGAAAAAGCTTTTTCCTGGTCAACTTGCAGGTGCACCTGCCCCCTCCCAGACATGGGTAATGCCAAGGCAAACAAGCCGCTAAAGCACAGGGTGGCACAAGTGGCAAGGGTTCTGCTTCCTGCAAAGCCCCTAAGAAGGTCCCTGGAAGCAATGCACCCTCCATGGTCTGGAAGAAACAAGGCAAAACTCAGACAGCAGCAGCTTAGCGAGAGCATATTGAGCACAGCACAGGTTGCATGCTGCTTCTCCCAGCATCGCATGCAGCTTCTTTTAAACACAGCATAATCCAGTCCAATACAGAAACTTAGAGGCTCCCATCAGCTCTTTACAGCAGGACCCTGTAACAGAGAGCATTGCTCTCAAAACTTAGATAGAGAATATGGTACAGGATCAGCTTTACCCAAGGATCAAGACATCTATTGATTTACTTGGACCACTGGAAATCTGAGGTGTACTGAGCTACTCACGTGTCGCTCCGGAGGTGAGCACGACTGATGAAGATCTCAGCAGAAAGCCTCTCTCCTCAGAAGCCCTGGTGATGGCTACGGCGCAAAGCGAGACCATTACAGAGATTAGGTGAAGTCCTGCACATTACTAAAAGAACATGTGAAACACACACAACCCTCTTCTAGGTGGCCTCTTCCCACTCCAACGGCTCACTTCAATGCTCACCTCCAAACACAGGGCTGCCTTCCCACTGCCTCTGCATCCATTTATCTCCTCTGTCAGGGAAGTCCTAAAAGCAATGAGCAAGAATTTATTCCCAGGAAACAAGGCAACTGAAAGCAAGAGCCCATTTTCAGAACATTGCAAAAGGTTCCGCCCAGCCCTGCTTCTCTAACTGTGCATCCCTACCTAGCACTCAGAGCACTATCACCTATCAGCCAACTACTCCATCAAAGTCTGTATTAATACACAGAATTAAGAGTTAACATATGCCAAATTCCCTGCCAAGTGTAACCTCCAAGGAATAGGAAGCCAGTAAGGATCTTTAGCAACTAACTCTGACTGATGAAGAATGATTCCATTTTCCTCCTAACTGAGACAGATGGTGAAGACACAAATTGGTTTCAACACAATACATTAGTGAGCTGCTCTAATATGGTAGGGCTCAAGTAGTAATCAGGCAGCACACAGCTCATATATTAATAATTATGAAGGAAAAACAATACTGGACAAAAAAGCTTTATGATTCCATTACAGAAATTGTCTAATATGCAATGATGGGTACTTCCTACATTCCTTAGGATGATACTCCCCTTCCCCTGAGGATCCTTCCACAAACAAATATTTATCTGAGCTGTGGCTTTGGCAGATCACAATCAACATCCTATTTAATAGGAAAGAAGTAGCCTGAGTCAGAGCTGGGGACTCCTCATAGTGGGAACAGGATGCTCCACTCATGCTTTAGAGAAGGTGATGACCCTGTCACAAGCTATAGCTAAAATATAGAGAAAGTCTTTACAAAAAAAGAAAGTGTTTACTCACAAGCATGCAAAAAATCCTACGGTTAATATACCTGGGAAATCATCTGCCTTTGAAGGCTGTTTGGAGCAATGAAGCAGAAGTGTCTCTCTTGAATCTTTTGTTTTTCAGTGAACAAGTTGACAAATAATTTCTGATGCAGAAGATGTTCCATTCCACTTCCTTTGAGCATTCCTGTTGTAGCTGTTACATTAGAGCCCTCTGAAAACTCATGGATGGAACATACATCAATGTGCATGGTTTCACAGAGCAAGGGGGTATCACAGACACCGGAGACAGCTCTTACCCTAGAGAGGGGCACGGTCCATCACAGCAAGACCTTTTAAATATCTACAAAATGCTTTGCTGTTCTGTCAGGGCACCCCCGTAGCTTGGTAGCACAACAGAGGTGATGGGTAACAAGCACTCAAGTACCGCAGCAGTCTCACATCCCTGCGCACACCCACAGTAGCCCCGACTGTGGGTTTTGCTGACTACCCCTGATCTTGGTCACGCATGCGGCAGCTCAGATTAAAGGGTGCAAAGAGGAATGCATAAGAAGATTTGAGGTCCCTCATAAGATTACTTTTTATGCTTCTCAACATTCATGTAGTCATTCCGTTAGTTCAACAAGCAACTAGTACTGTTCTTGTCCTGTACAACTGACATTCTCTCATGTTAACACACACTAGGACAGAAACATTCGCATGTACGTTTCCTACAAAATTTCCTGTTGACATCACCAACAGCTAAAGGCCAAGCTGCCAGTTGCTCAGAAGAAAACTTTGTTTCAGCTGCAGTTGCTTCCCATAAGGCAGAGGAAGCGCAGCTCTGCTTCCAGAACGGCTACAGGGCTTGCTTTGCCCTGGTGTTCTGCCTCTGGCCAGGAACACAGCCAGCCTAGATAACACATGGGGATCCAAGGCCCCGGCTGTGGCTGAATGCTTCCCAACCCCACCTGACGTTTACTTCAAAGACTACAGGGCCGGCCAACTTACGAAAACACTGATGGTCAGATTTTGCTTTTGGAAACATATTGAAGTGCATTTGTGCTCAGTGAAAATCAAATCTGCACAAGAACCACCAGGCCATTGATAAAGGAAGGAGTCTGACAGGGGGCTTGGTCTGCGTGACAGACACATAGCCCAACATGTGAACAAGACTACTGCTGGCACCAGACTACTGCTGAGCTCTAACCACAGCAACACGCACTGGCCTCCAAGCCTTCGCCCCACATTACACATGCACTTGGATTGCTTTTCGGCCCAAGGAAAGCAGCCAAGAGCTTGTGCACTCCAGAACTACTGTTTTCATACATTCACGGTGGGCTATCCTATCTCTGCCAGCAGTGCAAAAAAAAAAAATACTTAGAAAAAGCAAATACAAGTCTAAGAGCTTGCCCTGCTTCAGTCTGGCACGTGCAGTTCAGAAGACACGTGCAATAATGACACCTTGCAGGTTACAAGAGACGCAGGGCTCACACCTGAGCCAGAGTTGTGAGGTACGTATTATCCAATGTATCTGCAGGCCCCCCAAGGGCAACACACACAGACACACATAGTGGGGCATGTTACAGAAAATCTTAGCTTCTAGCACAACATGAACTGTCCATATAAAAGGATTTCCCTCTACTCTCATAGTGTTCCAGGGATCTTCACTTTATCCTCTCACTTATGCTCACATTTTATACTGATGATGAGACCTGACAAGAACAAGAAGCCATGGCACACAGGCAACCTGCACAGGCCAGGCTCAGCAGAAGCACAAAAATAAGAAAGTGACACATGGCAAAGAAAGCATTCACACGAGTATAGCAAAATTAAGATGTTAATAGGTCCCAGGACAGACTTAAGATATTTAACACCACTTCAGCTTAGGTGGCACCACTTTGCCTTCAGTAACTGGTACACAGAGATAGTTCTGTCTTCTGTCTAGACTAGCTGTCCGAATAGCGCTGCCTTCCTTAATGCCATCTTCCAGTCACTAATGCGCTGTGTCTCCCAAGAGCCCAGAGAACCCAGCACAACACCCGTCTCTGACGGCACAACACGGGCACGTGCAGGAGCGCCGCTCCCGCCGGGCGAGCGGCCCTGCCGCCTCAGGGAGCGCACGCCAGGCGCACAGCGAGCGGCCTGACCTGAACTCAGGCTGGGGACAGAAGTGCAACGTTCACGAGGCTTTGCAGAGAAGCAAGAGAGGAAAAAGCAGTAGGCAGCATTTTGAGGATGGCTCCTGTAAGAACAGCTGTCCTGCACAACAGGGTCCTGTACAACACTGCTGCATCTTTCCCTTTTTGCCGCAAAGTAAGCCACACTTGTTTTACTCATTCAACAACATTTGAGATTACATTTGCATTCCGAATTTTGTGCTGTAAAAGGTTAAAGGGAGAAAAACAAACAAAATCTTTAGGATAGTAATCAGTAACTACATCGAGAAATTCACCAAACCAACAGCCTGAACAAGCCGAAGGCCCAACTCAGTGGTTCTTCTGTCTTCTTCTGTTAACATGTACTTGAAATAGAATTAATTAGATAAATGCCCAAATCTGGCCTCCAGGGTATGGCACTGAAACAATCAAACAAACAAAATGTTCACAGGCTTCATCCTTCACATTATGTCTGCCATGGAACCTTCCAACCACACAGTGAAGTACTTACCTATAGCTAAAGTATTAAGTTTCATCTGTGTGCTTTGTACATCAAGTTTCATGGGTATAACAGAAGATTCAGGATAAAAAAAGAAAAGTGCTTTTGTTTTTAGTAAAGCTATTAAAAGAAAAGATTGTAAACTCAGTGGCCTGTGTTAAAACCAGTATACAAAAGGGAGAACAGCAATTGTTTTGTACTTTCATGGAGCTCTGTAGTTTTATATAAATTTATTTCAAGGAAATGAATTGTGCCAGGCAGAAATTACAGTCTCAATGCAAATGTACTGCTTCAGTAAGTGAAGTGAAAAATTCCTCCCTTCTTGCCCGAGAGATGTAAAAGTCTTCTTTTGTTTTAAAATGCGGAATTATTTTGAAGAGTCATTTCATGTATTTCTTTTCCTTGTCAACAACAGTTGGTTCAGGACCACTCTCCTTCTTCCTGGAGGTGATTAGCAAACAAAACTCCCCCAGACACTTCTCAAGAATCAGCCTTCTTTGACGTAACTGAACTTGGGGAAAGAATACCAAGTTCTTAACAACCTTCCTCCAAACAAAGAGAGCTTCTGGGCTCTCACTGTGTACAGCCAGCTGATGTACCATTAGCAGCACTTCAGTAAGATTAATCTGTCCAGATGGGGGCAGGTCCAGTAGATGTTTCATTGCTATTTGCAGAATTATTCTCCATACGCGTATGCTTTTTTTTTTTTTTTTGGCTTTTTTTTGCAAACTTCAGTGCATGATCAATTAATAAGTATCAAGCTGTCATCACTCTGTTGTCTGTAAAAGAAAGTTTCAGAATTTATCATTCAGTAGGAAATACAATAGGAAATATTTGCATGTACAACATTTATTTATGATCCTTTCATTTTGTTTTTTTCTTATTTCAGTACACTTACACTGTGACAATCAAGTAGAAACTGTTACAATAGGAAACCCCCTGATTTTCACAACAGCTACCAGGCTTCCGCTCTTGATATGCAAGCAGAACAGTACCTTAAAGTTTATTTATTATACTCAAGCAGACAAGAATTTCTTAAGCTGCAGGCCTGAGCTGAATACGAAACACGAAGCTGTACCTGCCTGAGGCTCCCACGAACTACTCAGCTTTCAAATGCCCACAGCAAATGTCACAATATCCACCCAACATCATCTCACTCCTTTCTAGTGAGTAGTGTCCTACTGCTAAAATAGGATGTTACGGCATTTGATATTCAACATTCACATTCATCTCTACTCTTTATCTCACAAGCTGGCTGTCTTACATTGTACCCACTGCCATTCTGCCCCATCATGAGTCCCTACACTGCCCAGTGGCAAGATCCCTGTGTTCAATGGTGGCAGAGATTCAAAGGTGGACTAGGTTTCCTTGGGGACAGGATTAAGAGAGTCACTTCTGGAGCCAGTAAGCACCAGGTGAGATGTCTGAACATCTCACCCACACATTGCTAGGATATTGCTAAAGGAGGACACTGCTAAAATCTGCAAGGGTTTGAAGTCTTGAAGTGTTTGAAGTGCAGGGTTGCAGTGGCAACCAGATACTTAGAAATGTATTCCCAGTATTTTGACAGATGTTACTGGAGCTGGTTTACCTCACAGACATGACATAACTTTTTGCATTAAGTGCAGATCCCTTGCTGAATCGCATTTTCTTTCTGTCTGCCACTATCCTGGCCTGTGGAAGAGCGATTTGGAAACAAAAGACTCAAACTTAAGCACCAGAGGCTTAATTTCCTTCTGACAGTTCCAAGTTATACTCCACAGCTTCAGTTTTTGCATGATAGTTTTTGTATGAGAATGCTTTAAAACGCACACTTAAACTCAGAATCACCTCTCCTTCACCATCAGCAAATCTAATTAAGCTAAAATACAAGAGAAGAGTCCAAATACTCCTCAAGTAGAGTTCTGTGCTTTCCAACATTTGTGAAACAGCATGCCACATTAAAAAGTTAATTGATAAACTTTGAGAATACCACTCATTAAATATACCATACTGACTGTCTACAGCAGCAGATGAATGGCATAGAGGCTTGTTCTTTTCTATAGCCAACGCTGCCACACTCTTTTAGAAATTCATGTAGATCTGTTACTGGAAATCCACTTTGTTGATATTTCTGAAAAATAAAACATCCTATTCACAACATGATAAATTAATCACCATCAATAGCCTACTAGTTGGCTTTTTTGGAAAAAAAAATCCTTAATAATCACACATTTCCCAGTGACACATTAAGCAAATTTAGACAGCTAAACAAGCTGAGTTATCTGCTTGCCCTGAGCCACACTTCTGCCAAGCATTTTCTCAGAGACACTGAGACTCAGAGACATCTCAGCATCTGGTGGCATAAGAAGACATTCACTCCAGATAAGACTGATCTACCTCTGTGCAACTGTATCCAACTTTTACCTACCCTCCAATAGCAATTAGGTAATGTTTTCATTAGCTATTGCATTTTTTAAAAGGTCAAGCAGTAGGAAATACGAACAGGGACACAGACTAAGTATGGTTTTCCACGACAATTATTGGCTACAGTCATTTAGATGACTGCACAGTAACCCTTTCCCAACCCAATTTCTTCCCCAAATTTTAAACTGAAAGATTTTAATAAGATCTGTGTTTATCATAATTAATGCTAGACATTATAAATGCAGAACTGATTAGAATAAGTATATGGGAAGAAAAATGATTTACCTTTATGGTATCATAGGAGTCTGTAATGAGTGCAATGAAAAGGCTGAGGATCATGTATATAAACAGACTAATGAAGGAGTACAGATACAACCGACTGAACAGCCACACCAACATGCTCTTCTGTTGGATTTGGGCAAATGTTGCAAACATATCATCACCATTGACCAAAGAAAACAGACATTCAGCCACTGTGTTCAGATCTTCAAACTAGAAAATATTGAGTATAAATAACTATTAGAACATGAATATCACCCACACTCTGACTAAAGGGAAGGAAGAAAGTGTTATTTAAAATATATTAAAAATATATAAGCGTTATTAAAAACATAATATAAAAATATAAAGTGTTATTAAAAATATAAAAGTATCTGGTTGCCAAAAGACTGAAAGTAGGATTTCTATTCCCTCTGTCCTATAGTAGAGGAAGGAACAGCACATTTCTTTAACTAAGGCTTTCAGAATTTTTGGGCAAATGGACCACCTTCCTCTCCACGCACACAGCAGGGGAAGGCACCGGGGCAGCGCGCACAGGCGCAGCCCTGCGCACAGGCAGCGCACACCGCAAGCCCTGCGGTTCCACACAGCCGCACTGCCTTCCAGCGGGGTACAGGAGAACAGCTCCGAGACAAGAACCGCGCGAGTGGCGGGGAGAAACACACCCGGCACACCCTGCAGTTGTTACCCTTGACGTCCACCTGCAATGTTCAGCAAGCGTTCACTTTTTCATAGGCAGGCATATTGTGAGCTACAAGCCCTTTCACTCAGAAAATTAACATACTTGCTGCTGAAAAGCCAGAAAAACAATATCTACCCTGTGCCTGTTACAAGCAATTGACCCTCGGGTATCACCGAGGAACCTGCAGCACATAGTGACTCCTCTAGAAACACTTACTGCCATCAACTTAAAATGTACATAGACAAAATACCTAAGTTTGAGAGATTTGCATTATGTCAGGAGAAATCTAGATCTGTGGATAAAAAGCCAAAATAAGCACTACAACATGGATCTTTGTTAATATATATACTACATGTAAACAGAAATCAAGAATGAGTAGTAACAGATTTGCTCATTAATGGACATGCAGAATTTAACAGATTGGGAATCTGCCTCCCCCCTCCCATACTGTCATATAAAGCAATAAAGGAAACAATTCGGCAAAAAGCTATCTAGCTTTCAAACTGAGGGTAATTGCTTTTTCTGCTTGCAGCTGGGAACTTAAAAGACTTTAGTACTGCAGCCAGAATTCAAACAGAAATAGGGACACACTGGCATACTTCTGGAGGTAAAAGTCCCTTATCCACCCATATTTGGGTCAACAGATAACAGTTAAAGTTGCATAGCAAGGGACAGATTTGGAGAACAAAAGTCAACAAGATACCCTGAAACAGTAACAAATGCTTCAGCATCCCCATTGCATCAGGATTGCCAGAAGAGGGCAGAAGGGAACGCACTGAGGAGCCTTCTGTCCCCTCCCCAGCGCTGGGCACTGCCTGGATAAACCAACCAGGCACTCAGAGCAAACACAGCCTCGTGTTATGGTGACAGTTCAGGAGAATAATGAGTTCAGTCACACAGTGAAATAATAGAGTTACTTTGTTAAAAGGAGCAGCTGATAGGAGTTATGCAGTTTCAAGCTTTTAAAACCATGAATTCATCTGTTCTAACAAGAATTCACATCTGTTAAAATAACTAGGAGTTTTATGTTCAGTTAGGTATTCACATATAGTTAGAAGGAAGAAAAAAAAAAAAAAAAAAACAATAGGAGCTGACATACCTTTTCATGATAAGGTCCCAACACAATCCAACCACAGAAAGTATAGCCAAGATAAATCATCCCAGCACAACAACAAAACCTCAGAACTTTAGGCAGCGATGCTTGCATAGTTAAAATGAGCACCTGTAAGTCAGGGCAGAAAGGAGGTCAAATATATTACAAGAGATCTGAATAAGTGACAGACCTAAATGTGTTGCAACTGTTGAATATTCAATTCCAGGCTTACGTTGTAGGTTTGAAAGTATCCCAAGTATCGGATGACTCCAACCCAGACAAACAAAGTGGATGTTCCAAGTAAAATGCTGCAGACGTCATAACTGGTGAGATTCTGAGGGATCCAAAAAGAGCAGGTGGTCAAGTTAAGTGGCAGGTTTGTCAGCTTGACAACTATACAGGTGTCACTTCAGAAAAAATGGACAGTTGAATATTGTAGTGACATTTCTTTACCACAAAAATCAGAGCAGCATAAACTGCAGTTAGAGATCACTCAAAAGCAGTAGCACTGCACAGAGAAGCACAGCTATGCTGACATTCTTGAACAGTATTTTTATGAAGCCTAGAAGAACTAAAGTCTTTGTTTTGGTTACAATATACAGTTAGACTGAATATCTCAATTTTCATTTTAAAAGGTTAACATTTGCTACCACATTTTTTCCCACTGTTAAAACAAGTAATCACTTAAACTTCAGGACTGTAGCCCTGGCTGTGCTACAAACATGAACAGTTTTGGACAGGTTGCTAGCTCTTTGAATTCTGAACACTTTTTCCACTGCCAGGGGGGTTTATAACCAATTCTACCTGCCTTCTGATTCAGCAGAAGACATGTCACCATCAGCATGAAATATCTTCCAGACTTTCTGCCCTGTCCCCCACCTCACCATATACCTGGACATTCCCAAGTGTTTCGTTTGAAGGTCACTCCAGTTATTTGCCCTTTAAGTATTACTACACATGAAGCAGAAGCAACATATTTGCTGCCCTGCTCTTCCCAGAATACAGAGCTTTTGAAACACATGAACTGTTGACACACATGTGGACAAAACACACTGATTTCAGTAAGTCCAGACTAGAAGGTCAAGGACCACCAGCTGACACTGGTTGTGCCTTTGGTTTGGACAGATCAAGCAAGCCACCACAGCAAAGTTTCCAGCCTCATGAGCTGCCCAGACCCCTGTTTTATCCAGCGTAATGACTCTTGATTTCTTTTTGCAATATGTACTATTACTTCTTAATTATTAAGATAAGAAATTAACATAACCTAAAGCTTTTAATTAAGAATCATCTTTTCTTTAGCATCTATATCACTGTCTATTTACAGGTTCTAAAACACGGATTAAGAGACTTGACACTATAGAAATAAGACATTTAATTATTTTCCAGGGTCTTATTTCAAGTGTTTGGGGAAGAGAAATAAAATCAATTACTACAAACACCACAGTGTTTGTTTTAATGTGTCATGCTCACACATCCTCTTTGACTGCTGTAAGAATCCATCAGCACTCAGAAGAGCATTAGTGCCCACAAGAGAATAAACTTAAGAGCTCAATTCAAAATGTGTAAAACTCGAGCAGGAACAAGCAGAACAAAACCTCATCCAACTGCCTATATTCCATTACTGTGGACAACAACATGAGGGGAAAGGAACCAGCAAAAGAAAGAAAGTGATTAGCGACTCAAATAGCTCAATCACATTTTCCATAGTTGGAAATTACTACAGCTGGTTGCAAAAAGACGAGTATTTTATCTGAAGCATTAAACCCTCACCTTGGCTTTTATTTCCATTTTTAAGATTGATCCAATGATGGTCATCATATCACTGATGATTACCAGGACATACCATCCATTTATGAACTCTAGGCGATCCGCATTACAGACATGACGTTTGTATTTCTCCAGGAAGAAAGTCACAAATCTCTATTGAGAAGCATTTAGATGTTTAGTTACAGGTCCCCTTAGATGAAAGATATGCACAGATGCCCCAGTATTGTAGCAGTGCTTGAATTTCACTTGCCTACTTTTCCTATAGTATTTGCTGGAATAACAGCCTAAAAATTGTTAGTAATAGCAACAAGAAAAAAAAAAAGAAAAGAAAGAAAAGTTTTTAAGACAGGTTTAGGTCATTGAAAGTTAGCTTTTCACAAAACAAACATAAATGACCCCCAAGAACCTAAGCATGCATGACTTGGTATCTCCTTTTCAAGCCCCTCACAAGAGGTTTCTGTCCTCCCACAAAAGAGCACAGTCACTCAGCTGAGGCAGTGAAAGAACCAGGAGAATCGGTAACCAGCTCAAACACAACAGTCAGGCAGGAGCTCGCGTTTCCACGAGAGCCAGCAGTGCCACCTCCCGAACCCAGCACCGCCGATCTGCTTTCACTTGTTCTCTCTGCTCATGAATAAATGCCACTGCCCCAGTTCCTGACAGCACCTTGCAATACCTTTGCAATACCTGTGCCCTGGTCACCTTTGTCTTGTTTACAAGCTCCAAAGAGGATACATGGGATTAGATAAGCAGCTACCTTCACTTTCATATGCGGCATATCGTGCCCTCTCTTTTTCCAACTCCTTTATTCACAAGCATATCACAATTAATAGCATCAAATTATGCAACAACTTGGGGCTGGTGTGCAAGGAAGTGTGAAATATCAACCAGGCTCTGGACACCTGGGAACTCTTCCAAGACAGCAGTTTTACAGTGCACAAATCTAGTGAACAGAAGCGTCCTGTGCAGGGCCAGCTCATGTTTCTGCATTGCTTTCTTTGGAAGGGAAGAATGAGGTCTGCTTACATGAGCTTGAGAAGAAGTCAGAGTTAGTCTCTGGGAATGCAGGGGAGGGCAAGTGGTAAAGAAGTTGACAGCAGACTATGGTCAAGAATTGTAAAGAGGGAAAGAAAGAGCTGAAAAGGGTGTTTCCAGCCCCAGGAAGACCAAGAAAACTAACATATTTAAGGCAGCACAGCCTACAGTCTACTTCTCAAATGACAGTTGGCTTTGAAAGCCAACTCATTAAAGCATTAATTCACAGGATGACCTGTACAGGTATTCTACTTTGAAGCCAAGACAGAAAAAAAAAAAAAACATATTTGAAAAGTGTAAAATGCTGATAACAGCACAAAGATTCATTTTTTTTTCTTTTTTGCACAAGATACTCTACAAAATTAAGTCAATCCTTCCCACTTTTGCCCTTGGCATATGCAGCAAAACACTTACTACAGTACTACAAGTGGAAGTAAAATATATTGTGTTTGTGACTGTTGAGATATCACACGTCCTTTTTCTAGAAGCACAGATGCACTGATACTTCATAACTAACACTTCACAAAACTAGCATCAGACATGATAGCAGAGAGACAGCATGGAGATTATGAATATTGTACTTACTTTTTGCAATCTCAAGGCAAGAACAATGGACCGGGTGCAGAGGATAAGAGAAGCAAGGCAACTGATAATGACAAATCCATCAAAAACCAGGACATACTGAGTGTTTTTCTGCAGAACTGTAAGTCACAGAACGGATAGAATTAATCTGCTCATATCTCCTTGGGAAGGCATTTATCATAAGCACTGACACTTTTACAAATTGTGTGTATTTTTCACTTCAGTCCCTCCCCCTTGAAGAGATGGGATATATGTGTGTATACACACACACACACACATATATGTATAAAGCAGCAACAACAAGGCAAAGCTTTCTGCAAGCATGCCTCCAGCACAGCTGAGCAGAGAGCTATACCCCAGAAGGACTACATAGACTGCACCACAATCATTAAATGCAGATTTGAAGTTCCTCAAAATTAAAGCACACTGATGAAAACTGCTCATTTTGCCACTAAGCTCATCTATCCTCCTGTACTCTAGCAGTACTACAGCTGCATGGAATAGAAGAAACACAGGATTTGGTTCATTTCAATGTAGTTAAACACACCCACACACACACACTAATCACACACACAACCACTACACAACTTTCTACACACTCAAGACTACATTTCTCACTCCCTGATCTGCATGGTACAGAAACTGTATCATACTCTACTTGTTTACACGAGGGTTTAGAAGTAATCACATAAACCCAAGGACTGTAACTTTTTAAAACAGGTATTTTTTTTGGCTTATTCCTATCAATTGTTCCTATAAGTTTCACAACATAGTATTTCTTTATATAGTTAAAAACTGATTTCTAATTGGTATAACAACTCTTTAGTTCACCTTAATAATGAACCTGCATGCCCCTGCTACCACAGCAGCTCATTATATGCATATAAACTACTAAAGAAGGGTTAGTTAAGAGACAGCTGCATAAAGTTACCAAATACGCACACACAATGCCAATAAAACACACTCCTATTAGACAAAAGTCAGCTTTGGCCTAGCAAAGAGGAGGCCATTTGATGTATCCCTTAACTGGTATCTTGGATAGCCCATAAGAGACTTACTCTGTCACCCTCCTATAGAGCAAGTTGCAAAGAGGATGGGGCCAAACTCTTCTCAGTGGTGGCCAGTGATAGGACAAGGGGTAGTGGGTACAAACTGAAACACAGGAAGTTCCATTTCCATGTGAGGAAGAACTTCTTTCCTGTGAGGGTGACAGAGCCCTGGCACAGGCTGCCCAGAGAGGTTGTGCAGTCTCCTTCTCTGGAGATCCTCAAAACCCACCTGGATGCCACTTGTGCCATGTGCTCTAGGTGTCCCTGCTGGAGCAGGAAGGTTGGACTAGATGATCTCTAGAGGTCCCTTCCAACCTCAACCATTCTGTGATTCTGTGAATTCACTCTAAGGGAAGAAGTTGCACAGTGCTCTATCAGTGACTACTTCTCTGAAAGAGTCTTTAGTATCCACTTATTAGCTGTCAAATAAAGCCTGAACAACCTTTGGAAGAGAACCAAGGAAGAGAAAACCTTTTTCTTCCTTCAAGAGAGGGCCTGGTGACATACACAGTTGTACAGAGATGCTTATACCATCAATACCCTTTCAGAAAGGGATTAATTCTTGATTACTATTTACAAAGATGTAATGAGTTGCATTAGACAAGATTTTTGTGCCTTAAGGTGGGAGACAAGAAGACAGGGAACATTTTGTTAGTCCAACTGCTATGGACAAGGAGAAATGGAAGGAGATGTGTAATACTTCCACCATATAAATGCATGCACACACACACACACAAACACACACACACACACATGCACACACAGAGTACTTACTAGAACCAGATACATGCCAGTCTTTGCATTCTTGAATGTCAGTATCACTATCAAAATAAATTTTTATTTTTCCACTGTGGGCTCTATTATTGAACGTGATCTGAAAGTAAAGGCAAATCAGAAATAAGATTAGCAAAATATATTCCATAAAATAAATCTTGGTCTGTATATATGTGTTAGCATTTTTAGGTAAGCTTTTCAGAAAGCATAAATGGCAGCATATACAGAGCACTCGGGAGCACGATGTATAGCATTAAGAAGCAACATTCCAAGAAGCCAGAGTTCAAAATCAACTTTGTTAATTGAGCAACAAGTACTTACTACCCCTTCTCAGATTATGAGGTTATCAGCTGGAATAGGTTACAAAATGACACTGTATCGTGGCAACACAATTGTTTAGGGGCTTCAGGCACCTTTGGGAAAGGGGGGTTTAAGCATAAGGCAGTTTCCTCATAGGCCAGGATGCGCCCAACTGTTTTTCCACACAGTCGGGATATAAGGACACCGTCTATGGACCCTTGTTACTATATAGCGTTATAAACTTAATGTAAACTATGCCCAATATTCACTTACAGTATTTTGGAATGCATAACAGTCGGGCAATTCACGGGCATGGATTGTCTGTAGAGCAATGCCTTTTAGCTTGAAAGAGATTTCAACTTGTATAAGCCTGAATGTTCAAGAGAAGCATATAAATACATCAACAATCAAAAACAGAAGAACACACAGCACAGAACACACAGAACATAACTCAGCATATTCATATGAAAAAAAAAAATCACAGAATGTATTCCACCTTCCCATCCCAAAGTTTTACCTATAAAATTCAAGATTGAAAAATGAGGAGTTCAGCTTCTGTTCGGCCTTCTTATTGGCTAGCTCCTTTGACTTTAAGAGGATACATTCTACGGAGAAAAGGAGAAAAGTTGAAGTTTTAAAAATTACACATAGAAAACAGCATAAAGTTAAGTATTCAGATGCAAGCGCAAATCCTAGTCAAGCATCATGTTAATTTTGCACAAAACTCTTCATACAGAGCCCAACTAGTGGGATCACAGGCAGCTGCATGGAGTAGTTCTTGAGAAGCCAGAGGGTGAGACTCTGCTTAGAGCAGTGCTAACAATATGCACTGAAGCTGCAGCCTTAACAACACTGAGAATTCTGTATTTGGAACCTTCTGCACTATGAAAAAGCTAATGACAGTTGAAAGGAAAAAAAGTACAGAGAAGATTTCTTCTTATACACTGCAAAGTAATTGAATGTCTAAACAAATACTACAAAGCAAGGGTAGGGGGAAAGGAGAAAAAACAGCAACAAGGATGTTAGTTTTCCAGTGAATTACATGCAAAAGTTACTAGCATTAGAATCCCTGATTTACCATTACAAGGTAAACAATCCATGGCAAGAAGCTTGTGGCTTAAGTACAAAAGTTCCATACCTGTTTCAGTAGCAACATCTATGTTCAGTGTATCATTGGATGGAAGCATTGTGCCTTTCTTGTACTGCTGTTTACAGATTTTTAAACCTGATTCTTCATTTTCATCTTGTTCATAACCAAGTGTCCCAAGGGAAATGTTCTTTAGTTGCCTGTACTAGTTTAAAAGCAAAACAGAACTAAAAGTTAACAATAGATCAGTCTGAGGAAGAGCTGGGGTCTCACTCCTATTCCCTGTTCATAGACCTTAGGTCTTTTGCTTGTAAGCAGAACAAAATAGCTTGTAAGCTATATAAGACATAAGAGTCTGTAAGCAGAACAAGATGTATATGAATAGACTTTTACACAAGAACTCAAAAATAACAAACGTTCACTTTCCCATAAAGCCTGCAAATTGATTGTGGATATCTAACAGGAAGCTCAGGTGGCTGCTGACCGTCTGCATGAGCAGCCCTTGGCATCCTGGTTATACAGGGACTAGGAGCCTCAGCCTACTGGGGCACCTGTGCATGATGAAACGTGTGCCCTACAGCAGGAGGCATCTACTGTAGACAGGGTTTGACTTCAGTGCAGCCGCTAACCGCACGCACTCTATGAATCTCTTAAGTATTCACTTTTTTAAACACTTGAAACTTAAAGATCCTCTGATAAAACACAGCATCTCAATTTAAAAAATCTTAAGCAACTGAAGACCTTTTCCTATCCTGAACTCAGATGTTGGTAGGATGGCCAGTTAAAAAAACACAATACTAGGAAGAAATTTTAAAACTTTCATAAACTTTTCAGGCTTGATCTTAAGGCCTGAAAAGACTAATAAATGGCTTTAATGTTTCTCCTCTTTTTCCCCACTAATCTCTCCCCAGACTCTGCTCTCATGGCTACAAGGCAGCAAAGCATCCAAGGAACATGCACAGAGCTCGGGCCGCACCCAAAAGCAGTTTGACCTGACAGCTCTACACAAGCACAGAGGCAACAGAAAGTTTGTCTGGGAGGAGACACTTTCTTCCCTTACTCTCAGGACGAACCAAAGCCAGCTCCATCATCTGTCCTTGGAATCCCAGGCTTGCATAACAGGGGCAAATGAAACAGCTGGGGACACAGCACTTCTCAGTTCTGGACTCCTCAACAGTGCAGCACAACTAGGACCAGCCAAAAAGCAGTCAAAAAGCAAAGGCCCACTCAGCTTAACACCACCTACCATTGCCCAAGAGAAGCTGCTTAGACCAATGGCCCTCTAGGGAAGAATGAATAAACATCCAGTAACTCATTATTTTTTATCATTACCTCTCCTGACAAACCAGCTCAGGCTAGCATTCATCGGTCACCTCTGCTGGAAATATTTATTGTTCTGGGGAGTATTTCCCAGGAGCTTGAGTTAATAAACATCAGCTTAGTTAGACATCAGGGTAGTTAGGCAGAGTTTCCCATTTCTTAAGAAACGTATTGTTCAGCTAACTTTGATACAGATTGAACTTTCTCTCCCTTAGACATTAATTTGGTTATTAATGACTACCTATTGGTACCTTATTTTTCCCCTTCCTGTGGGCATTAACTGCATTAGTCCCTCATGTAAGGCTTCCTGCACTGGTGCCAACACCAAGCAGCTGTTAACTACTGCCAGCTCCACATGGCTGCAACGGGAACCTACACATCCAGCCAAAGCTCTGCCTCACAGTGCTGCCTTTGGGGGCTTCACAGCTGAGCTCACAAAAACACAGACAGCTAAGGAGATGGCCACTGCAGCAGCACCCTGCAAAATGTTATCTAAAAATAAAGAAGCCAAGTTTAAGGCGTGCCAAGTGAACGGAAACAACAGTTAGTCACAATATCCCACTAAGGCCATTACCAGACCACTGCATTTAGCAGCTGCTGTTCTGTTCAAGCACAAACTTGGAGACTTTGCCCTTCTGACAGCAACACATGGCTGCTCAAGTTCAGCAAGCACCACTTTCAAGCAACACGCTACACAAAAGCAAAATCCCATTTATGTATGTCCCAGCAGCTTAAGATGGAGTAAGCAGCAGGAGTAACAATTCTGCAGCATCTTGGTACTCCATACTGTGCCAGATGATGGGACAGCGTTAACAACTCTGAATGCTTTTTTCATAAAAGAAGTTTTCAAATTAGACCAGAGAGAGGAGTAGGAAGGAGCTGTACACCCTTTAAGTACAGAAGTCTGCCCATTTTTCTGCAAAACATTAAAATGCCCTAAAGGGTCACTACATATAGCGTGCACACACGCACGCACTCCATGCTTTAACAAGCAAAGAACAACCACCACCAAAAAACAACCACAAAGCAGATTCTAGATGCCCATCTTGAAATAAGCCTTCTAAGCAGCACTTAAAACTTAAAAACACAAAACAAAACTGAAAGGTCACCTGAAAGCTACATATTTTTATGGCTTACATGTGATAGAAACTGTAAGAGCTCCACAAGACACTAAAGAACCTAGATCACTTGAATTTAAACTCCTCAGAGTATGTCTACATTTAAATAACAGAGACATTTATGAAGAGACCTTTTTCTGATGCCTGTATCACACAATGGCTCTTTCTTGAGGATATAAAGCTATTACTTCTCTACTGTCTTCTATCTGGGCTTCACTTCAGTCTTAGTGCCTATAAAAGAAGGAAAGCAAAGCAAGGAAGAGAGAAGAAAAAGAGGAACAAATTATAGCAGAAACAGCAGCAACACTAAGAGTTCAAAGGAAGACCAAAAAGACTATCTAAACACTCCCTGAACACACCAGCAGCCACATTATGGGCTTTGCCCCACAGCAGAAACAGCAGGATTGATCTGCTGATGGCTCTGCTGTGGCTCAAGGAGCAACGAGCCCCTGCACAAGCGGCGCTGGGAAAGGCGGCCTGGCCTCCACACCACAGCAATTCCCAGATGTCTGGGAGGCCACACTGATGGCTGCAAAACCAGCTTTAGACCAACCTCAAAACTGATGCCCAAGGTCAGAGAGGAGAATTAAAGGTGGTGGTTTAAGACCACTTTCTGCTCCTCCCCCTGAATCTGTTCATCATTATTCTCAAACAAGGGATATTTCTCATTTTTCTCACACACCCACTTTCATCTCATGATGAGCAATACTTAATAGTTACATCTTAAATGTAGCAGTATTAATAAGACCTGCTTACTGAATTTCCAGGATAGATTTATTCCTCCATAACCAGATTTATTCATTCCCATCTGTAACCAGGGCCTGTGCCCCTGCATTCCTGGAAGCACCATATTCTTCACCGAGTTCTTTGGCACTTACTACAAAGCTGCAATTCGGTATAGTTGTAAGCACAAACTCCTTGAATTTGTAGATATATTCAAGACCATACATCTCTAAAAACAGACCTAAACAAAAGTTCCAGTTCACATAAGATGACCAAATTTCAAACTTTCTGGACTTTGGTACTATGCACTAAATGAACTAAAGTTTTGTGTTGGATTTGTCTTCAAGACATACAAATCCACACATTTGCACACAAATTTGAAACACTCCACCTCAGTAGATTCACTGAAATAGCGAGATTAAAACCCAAATGGAGACAAAACAAGAATTTGAGAAGCAGTTTACTAGCTATAACTTCAATTTTAACGCTATTTTTCATTATAAACAAGCACACTTACCTGATTAATAGCATAAAAAATGCTATCATAAGCATCCTGCTGCGTATATACACTGCAGCTGTAGTCATCTTCATCAACACCAGAATACCCTTTCAGGAAAAGGTGTTTAAAAGCAACAGTGTTCTCCTCCTTGAATGAAACCACCAACTGGTTACTCAAACCAAAAAAGATAAGCTGGCAAGGAAAACAAAGATACGAGTTCAAGCAGCAGCATTTTTGAAACAGCTTCACTTCTTTCAACTATAACAAATAAAAATTAGAAAGATGTCTGTTTCGATAATGTTGCTAAGACAGCTGCATCATTTCTACCTTTCACATATCCTGGACCAGCAACACTAACTGGAATTCACAAAAAAGAAAACAAAAGTGAAGGATGCAAATGGCAGAAGAGCCAAGGTAACAGTGCAGCCTGTTAAACCAGGAGTGCTCCACGCTGCTATGGGACAACCCCCAGCAGCTTCTTGTTTGGCTGTGGCACGAGGCAGCGCTAAGGCAGGTCGGGGCAGGACCCCACAGCAGCCAGGCCATCGCTTTGACCCCGCTACCTGCTAAGGAGGCTGTGGGAAGCCGCAGCAGCAGCGCACACAGCATGTGCATCTGTGCGCCCATGTCAGGATGTGTGCAGACCTGTGTGCCTGATCCTCATCTTTTTTCCCCTCACATGGAGAATATAGGCAGAGTTTATTCAGAACTGAATTTCCACTCTTTCACCCATCTTTTAAATCAACTATTTATATCCTCAGGTGACTGCAAAATTGCTGAGAGTGATACAAATGAACCTGCAGCACTCTAATATAACTTCAAATCCAAGGTCCAACTGTAATGCTGAGGAGTTAGACATGCTCAATAGGTTTCTCTTGGGGATTCACGAGGGGACTTCAGTGCAGTTTCAGGGCAGGACACATTCCCCATGCTAGGCCAGAAGCCACTTCTGCTTTCCAGGGAGGCACAAATGCCCCAGCTTCTACACCAGATCAAGGAAACTGCAACAACAGCCCTGCTTAATAGGCTGTTAGCAGACAAAAACAGTCATAAGAAAGCTTAAATTATTCCTAAATCATCCTCCAATGATCTTGCCTTCATTCTGAAGCAGAGATGCTTGCTAGAAGTTGTTTATCTACTAGCTTAAGGCTGCCCTGTGGGGCAGCAGCACATCTTCCTTCAGAAGCTGTTCTCCTTTTCCTGCCGGCTCCCACCCAAGCAAGACCAGAGCTGAGGAGCTCTGCGGTGCACTGACACATCCTAAGGGACCCAGCAAGTCTCATGGCCTTAGCAGGCAGGGGAGCACAGTATCCCATCTGCTCACAAGGACCAAGAGACTGGAATAGCAGACGGAGGCTGCGTGACTTAAGTTACTCTCCCAAGAGTTTAAGCCAGTCGGCTAGGATATATCAAGTAGTACTGAACCCTTTAACCACTGTGTGAGTAAGGAAACAAAACTACTTCACATTTGAGGTTACTGCCTTGTCAGCCTTTAAGAAGTCACTGCAATAAGCCCTAATTTAGGTGCATCTGCTCATAACACAGAGCAACCCTTCCCTTACCTTCGACAGCACCAAGAAGTAAAGGTACCTGTTTGGCTAGAGTTACATTGCGTTTGCACTGTCCTGTCTTGCACTGTCCACATGTGCCTTAAAATGCTCCCTATTCTTAGCAGCAAAATTGCTGTGGGCAGCACCTGTGCCAGCATTAGCCTCAATAGCCTATGTTAAGCTCCCCTGTGTAGGAGGAGGGAGCAGCACAGGCCGCCCTCACCCGCGGACAGCGCTGCGCCGGGACCGGCCCACGGCAGCGGCCCAGGAGGCTCCGCGTCCTTCCAGAGGCACCTGGGGAACGTGGGCGTTGGATGCAACACAGGAACGCGCAGGGCTTCATCTGGCAGGGAGCTCAAATACAAACCCCGAATCCTGCAGCCCAGCACATTCTGGGGATTTGTATATTTAGCTACTTGCAAAGTGCCAGATGACAGTGCTGTATTTAAAAGGTGCAGACAAACAATTTCTTACACTTTTCCCCCTTCTCCTTCCCCCACCAACCAGCTAGCATATCTCAGGGGATTGCTAAATAATCAACTGCAGTGTAATAAACAGCAGTTTAAAATTCTCTTCTTCATTGCCCCGACTTATGTGCCTATCTGCAAAGTTTGAGTATGTCATTTGATGCAAGCAAAGGGCACATCGGTCATCTCAGTGCCACCAGACAAACTGCAGCATTTTCCAACTTGAACGTGCATATTTAGAGTAGATAACTACATTTCAAATGCTTATCACATTCACAATACAGTGCTGTGAAACGGTTGCATGCTAGCCTAAGTTGACATGAATGTAGTAAGGAACACAATATACAGCAAGCCTAGGCACTTCATAACATAGGGTTGGATTCACTGGGAGGGAAGGGTAATTTCTTTTAGTGTTATATAAAAACATTAAATTACAAAAGCCTCCTGGAAATTCTGGGGTAATATTTGACCAGATGATTTAGTTCCTTGTCTTATTTCAACACACACCCCCTCCTCATGATGTTTTTTTCTTTCTGGACTAAACAGGGAAGTCAGTAAAGAACATCTAGAGATGGCAAGGAGCTGGAGCACAGACCTACTGCTTATCCTGTGTATGCCTACACACCCTAGGAGTAAAAACACATAAAAGATTACCTGAGTAGTAACCATAAGTATCTTTAAAATCTGCAAAGCCAGTTTCCATGGTATTTGACGTCTTGCTCTGTATTTTTCACATGGGTTCATGAAGTAAAATTTCAAATCCTCTTTTAGAGCCGTTTCTTTTAGATCTATATCTGATTGGGCCATCATATTTCTGCCATAAATAATATGTCAATTAAAAACCAACAGAATATTTTGGCAGGCAGCTTCCTCATGTTAGTTTCACCTCAGCTCTCCGTATGACACAAAAGGTCTGTAAGGTTTTTAATAACAAAACATAAAAACATTTATCTACAATCACATGATAAAAAATACATTCAGCTTCCTCATGTTAGTTTCACCTCAGCCTCCATACGACACAAAAGGTCTGTAAAGTTTTTAATAACAAAACAAAAACATTTATCTACGATCACATGATAAAAAATACATTAGATTATCATAACACAACATTTTAACAGTTATTTCTCAAGACATAGGCTTTAAATAACAGGATACATTATAGCAATAACGAGCTTAGTTTAAAGAAAGGGGTAACGGAACAGAGACAGGTTAGTGCACTGCTCAGAATGAGCCACATTCTGCCTCCAGAAAGAGGCATCTCAAAGGCCTCAACAGGCTTCACAGCACACGAATGCTATAAATAAGGACTTTATAACATCAAAGATTGAAGTTACAAACACTTGCTGCTCTCCAATTTTAAGGCTAAAACATCCCCCATGCATTTTACTTTTTGGGCATGTAAAATACAAGAGGAACAAGCATGGCAGGCTGTTTTTGCTGGCACTCAATTGCCGTGTCTCAGTTGAACAGGGCACTGAAAACATTTTTCCTTCTCTCTGTCTTTCTAAACACTTTCCAGCACTGCAATTGTCAAAAACTTTCCTACATCAGAAAGAGAACCAGTACCAAACCTTTTTTCCTCCCTCCAACTATTAAAATAGAGCAAACATATCTGAAAATAGCCCCACAAATCCATTTCTTACCAGTTCCATTAAAAATATCCAATATTCAGAATTTTATAAAGGATACCGTACCCCCGAAGTCAAAACTGAAGAAATCAAGACCAAATTTCCAGATGCATTTTTAATTTTTTTGTCCTCATATGTCTAAGTGTACAGTTATTCTGACTCTGACCTCTAGAATGCAAAACACATTTGGTTTGAACCGGCTTCCTCCTAACAAGGAAAATGAATTACACTATGCAATAAAGGCAATATAGTAGCACTCACGCCTAAGAGGAAATGAAAGTCTGTTTTAACATGAAGAAGCGCAAAGGTTATCTTTTATTATATAGAAATACATCAATCATTCATGAAGATGATGAGGGAACGGTGATTTTGTTTTTGAGACAGACGAGTAACAAAATTAATACAAGAATAATTTTAGCATAATCTGAAAATTTAGATTAAAACAAAGCAAAAAACACATTGCACTGAACTAGTTTTAAGACGAATTTATACACGTTTGTATTGGGTATAAGTTGTGAACTTTAAACATATCTGAGAGAAAAGCATACAGCTGTTATAGCTGTATGCACTGGGTATTGCCCCGGTATACATGCACGTCAGTGCAGCACGGACACCAAAGCAATAGCTGCTCTTGCACCAGCTTCTCTTGAGCAGGCAGAAGCAACTTCGCAGGCACACAGCACGTGAGATGCGACTGAATAAAAGTAATGGGAGTAGCAGGAAATAGAGGAGAAACAGAACAAGCTTACACGGGAACTGACGCGGGCTCAAAGCATGAGGCAGGACATAAGGACCACTCCAAGACATAGGCAAAATCCTTCCAAAACCTTTCAGTAACAAAACACCTGAAATGCCCCATCTTAAATCAACCAGCAAACCTTTTAATAAATGGTACTTCCTCAGCAACTCAAATATATATCATGCAAAACATGGTGCTTCCCCCTCACCCAGTCATCTTTCAAGTCCCTACAGCTATTCTAAAAAACCCTTTACGCTGAATAATAATATTGCTTTCACTTCTGCTCAACCCTCATTTAACTCCACTGGTCAAGAATTTTTTTTTCCTGATGTTTATAGCTTCATGAATTCTGCAGAAACTGGTAGTTGGAAATTCTTCCTAGCAGAGCAAAGGACTTTTTCAATTTAAGAGCAAGACTCTTGGACTTGCAAGAATTTTGCTTCTAATACAGACAGTAGTGCTCTAGGGTGATTTTCAGCAATACATTCAGCAGTAGAAAAATGCAGCAATCTGTCATTTCCTCAAAGGGATTCAAAGCACCATTCCACTACACTGTACTAAATCTGCAGAAGCAGAAACTTCAACCAGTGATTAAAAATAAATAAATAAAAGCTGCCCTAGTAAGGGTGAGTGCACATGAAACAACATTTAGTTCTACTGGATGCCAATAGCCTGATATCCTAAGGGCAATCCAAACAAAACGCCCAAGCCCAAGGCAAGGCCATGGGATACTGCGCTCCCTCGCTGGGTTTCCTTAGCGTTCTGTAACGGACACACAGCCCCGCGGCTCTGGCTCAGCCGGAGCTCTCCGAGCTCTGTTCCAGGTGTCGTGGCTGCCCCAGCCCAGGACAGGTGCCCACCCCGGCCCAAGCCGAGGAAGCCCCTGCAGGGTGGTGAGGAGCCCTCTCTATGCACATGTGGACGGGAGGTTTTGTTCTGCTGTCTGTCCTTCGAGAAGGGTTTATAACTTTGAAAAGTCTTGGGAAGAGCTTTAAGCGTGCTCTGCTGTTACAGAGGCGTTTTACAGCGGGACACTTGAGCGCTCTTTACAGGTGCCCACCCCGGCCCAAGCCGAGGAAGCCCCTGCAGGGTGGTGAGGAGCCCTCTCTATGCACATGTGGACGGGAGGTTTTGTTCTGCTGTCTGTCCTTCGAGAAGGGTTTATAACTTTGAAAAGTCTTGGGAAGAGCTTTAAGCGTGCTCTGCTGTTACAGAGGCGTTTTACAGCGGGACACTTGAGCGCTCTTTCTTGAGAAAGATACTCAAGTTTCGGCAGCCACAACTACCACGGGCAGCGAGCGACACAGGAAAGCAGCTTTTAGCGCCCGGCTGCTCCGGAAGG